GATTCAATTTTAAAAAAAATGGCCCAAAACAGACACACCACGCTGAAGAGCAGACCTATATGAACAGATGACAGAGAGAGATGGGCACACTTGGGAGGCTGAGGGGAAAAGACAAAAATCCATCAAGTATCATTTTATGTCCACTAGACTGGCAAAAAATAAAGTCTATAACTGTACCTCATGGTGTTTCACTAATAAAAAAAAAAGTCTGGCAATTACAAGTGTCGAGAGCACTTGGCGGGATGGGCTCTTTTTCTATCTGTAGAAACTATTGAAAGCCAGCACAGGTGGTTGTTATAAGCTCCGTGTTATAAACTAAGCATACATCTTTGCTCTCAGCCACCAGCTCGACTCTGAGGCACAACTGCATGGACACCTTGAGGACAAAAATGTACAGGAATGTTCATGAGAATACAATTTACACAAGCAAACAAAACTGTAGTGCCCACAAATAAGAGTGTGGAAAAGAATACACTGTGATACAGCCACTCAAGGCTAATAATAATTCATCCTACAGCTGAATCTATGAGCTATGGGACACACAGCATAGAGGACATTATAATTAACATTATAGTAAAGATAACATAGTAAAACACTAAACCCTACACTGCACAGAAACTCCGCCCCAAGCCATTGCTTTCAGCCCTCTGCCATTCTATGATAGGAACCATCGTACTGAAACCTGTTTCTCAAAGCTGTCTTTGCCTTTTCAAGAGAGCATCGTATGTAATCTTGTAGGGTTTAGTTTCCAAAAAAAAAAAGGGCAAGTGCAAGTACTACAGCCAAGAGTGTGAACTCCAGTGAATATGTGTGTGAACAGGACGCCGATTTCCAATAGCACAACTAAAATATGTGCTAGCACCACAATCAAATGAATTCTACCCCGCACCACAAGAGCAATAGCAGGAAAAAAAAATTAAAGTTAATCATAGGAAAAAAGGATAAATCCTGACCTTCATTATATAAAAGTCATTTTCAAAACCATATTGGTTTAAAATAAATGAAAAGATACAACATAAACCATATTTAATTACTAACAATGTTTATCTCTGATAATTTGTACAACTAATGCCATCCAACAAATACTTATTGAGCATACAGTGACAAAGAAAAAAATCTGTCCCAGTCCTCCTGAAGCTAAATATGTCATACTTTTACAATTAATTGGAAAAAGCAATACAGGTCCGAAAAAAATACACAGGATTTACCCACTCAAAACTAGTATCTCACAAAAAAATAAAAAAAGATTTCTAGAATTTCTCTGGAATCCCCACTGGGGGCAATTTTTATATAAATATTTAGATAAAAGCCACCTAAAGGGCTTTCTTTTGGTTGAGAATTATATTGTGATGTTAAAGCAGTCTCAACCACTGACGACAACGTAGTGAGTCACTAAATCTCAGACGCCCTCTTTTCTGTGGATTGAAAATTAACGTCAATTACAAATAAAATCTACCCAACTGAAAATTTCTCTCACATTCATATTCCATACTTGTCTGGTTTGTGTTTCTTCCCCCCCCCCCCCCCCCACCATTTCCTCTGTCACTCTCAATGATTTACATACTTATCTAAAAGAATCTTTATCTGCCTCTACTTTTAACCAAAGAGCCAAGTTTAGAGAGAATGTTTCCCTCTTAGGGGTTCTCAGGAGAGAGACAGAAACTTCATCAGAGGGGATCTGGGGTTTTGAAGAACATGAAAATAATTCAGAGAATCTCAAAGTTGTAGTCTTTTTAGTGAACTACAGAAACTATCCCTAAATACAGTCTCTGAAAGCTCTAATTCTTTTCAAGTTCCTGTGTCAAAAGACACTCCAAAGGACAAGGATATAGCTGGGGAGTAAAGCATTTGTCTTTTAAGTTTAAGTGTGTGAGGCCCTGGGTTCACTCCCCAGCACCATGAGAAGAAAAGGAAATTCAGGTATTAAAAAAAAAGTAGGGGCAATACCTGAGTAGAACAATGGCTAATTTACCTATTCACTGTACTTAACTTTGGCAGTTAATATCACTGATAAAAATACTTATAACTTCCTAAGACTTCCAACTCATAAAAAAAAATAGTAACAAGTAGCAAAATTACACTGACTGCTCTGAGCTTAAAAACTTACCATTATGTCTATTACATTTTTAAAGCATATTAAAGAGGGACTATACACAGACAAAACTCTTTAGGAGTAAGAGCATTGATACTGGATATGCTAAGAAGTAGCTTTCAGACTAAAATAGTTTTTAATAAAAATACATATACAAGATACAACAAACAATACAGAAGCTCATAGTGATATGATACCAAAAGCATAAGTTCGGAAAACTAGGTGCTAGAATTACTAGTCATCAAAATGTTTCTCATTCATTAAATTTTTAGACACCACTGACTCTGCCAGACAAAAATTTTAGAAGTTGTGCCAGATAAACACTGAAAGCAAAAATAGAGAAAAATATTGCTCTCATGGAGAATGTCAGTGAACTGAGACAGATAATAAACATGACAAAGACCAAGCAAAAATTAAGTAAAGCCTTTTTACGTTAGATGGTAAAAAACACAAAGAAGGAAATAAAATAGGAGAGAAAAAAATGGAGATTTAAAATCAAGGAGCAAAGGGAGCAAGCCATGTGGCAGTCTGAGGAAAGCCCATCTGAGGAGAGGGACTACAAGAACAAAGGCCCAAAACGTGGGAAGATGCTTACTCTGCTTAAGGAAAGGTGAGCGCAGTGTGGTTAGAACAGAATGAAGGAGGAAAAAGTGTAGTATATGTGGTTGGTGAGATCAGGAGGAAGAACTGGGCCTTCCCCGAGGAGCTTAATTTAAGGCTTTCATGAACATGTAGGATAACAACAGGAGGAAATGAGGGTGGGAGGCGATTCTAGGTAATTAGAAGAGAGGAAAACAAAAGACAAGGAACCACAAATGTCTTAAGGATGTTTAAGAATCAAAGACTGTCCTAGTTTACACATCTACCTGTGAGAGAGCCTGAGTAGCCTAGGGGTGCCTGGCAAAGGTGGGATGGGATGAATATTCCATCCTGAATTCTGTTTAATAGCTGAGAGAGAAAGGGAAAGGTCAGGGAAGCATAGTGGGGAATGGCAGGCACTTGCTGCCCCCTTTATATAATATTTGTTTTCCCAACTACTAACAAAACACTATTCCAGATAGATGCTTTAGTTCTAGTATCTACAACAACAACAAAAAATAGTAAAGGTCAGGATTCTGGATGGGAGGGCACACTCAGCAGTGCTCAGGGGATTACTCCTGGCTCATAGCTCTGAGACTGCCTCCGTGCCTCCAGGTGTACTGAGGGGACCCTGTGATCAAGGATCAAAGTCAGACCTGTCCACAAAACTTGTGCTCCAGCCTATTGAAATGTCTCTCCAAAGTTCAAGATTTTTGTAGGGAAAACTCTTTGAAAATTTCTTCAACTAGGGAAGAAAATTGAAATTCAGATCAGTGTTCTTTTAGCATAAATTACACTGGGCTGGTCTAATCCGTTAAATCATAAAATCAAGATGTTTTGATTTTATGGGACTGAAAAGGCAATTTAAACCACTGAAAAGCATTTTCAATGCAAGTACTCCACAAAATGGTTGAACTAAATCTAATTCTACACAAAGATTCCGGGGTTTCTGTTGTAATTATACACTCTCAATTCAAAGGTATTCACAAGGCATGAGCTTACGACCTTCTTGACAATACAATACCCCCTACCTGGAACAGGGCCAAGGAGAAATGATTCAAATGCCTGTTAAACTAATAAAAAGCCTGTCTTTTACAGTTCACCTCAGTAGACTCACACAGCGCAGAGCTGTCATAACACCACCTTGAACTGTTACTATTAATAGGCAGGATATTAAACAAAAGCAGAAAGTAGGAAAAAGAGATCCTTTCCTTCCTTATTACCATCTGCACAAAACAACAGCATCCCCCAGAGGAGTCTGCTAATGAATTATCCATATGACACTAGCCCATTTCAGCAATATGCAAGGGTGCTGCTTGGAAGAATGGAATATATTTATCCAAATTTAATGCAAAGTCGAGGAAAAATAATGAAAAGGCATTTCTCTCACACACCCGCTTCCATTGTATCAACGCTCCCTTTCTGGTATAGAGAAGCGAAAAAGAATGTCAATCTCAAACAATGTCTCCTCAATACTTCAAAAACTTACTGGATTTTGAGAATCAGGTTTGCTTCTCTGCTATTTTTAAAGGTCTGGGATGAAAAGTAACTCACGTGGCTCAAATAATACAAAGGCGCACCAAGAAAAAGACAACAGTAACGAACACTCGGTCCAGATTCTCATTAAATCCCCAAGAGAAGCATTAAAGTAGGAGGGGGGGAAATTAACCAAATACGAATGATGCAACTTCTGCCAGAAAAAGGCACCTTTCCACATCGGATAACACTTATGCACGCCCAGCATTAGATTGCTCACAGCTGAAACGGGGTGACGACTTATTCATCGAGCTTATACCCTTTAAAATAAAAAAGGGAGGAGAAAGAAAGAGAGAAAGAGAGGAGAGGAGAGGAGAAGAGAGGAGAAGAAAGAAAGAAAGAAAGAAAGAAAGAAAGAAAGAAAGAAAGAAAGAAAGAAAGAAAGCAAATGTCGGAGGTGAAGTGGACATGTCCATATCCTCTCCGGTCCAACGCCCTCCACAAAGCATTTTTCCAAGGCTGCGACTCGACCGGCCCGCGTGCAAGCCATAAGGGGGATTCGAACTCCCAGCAGCCAGCAAACGTTACAGCGTCCCCCCAAAGTCCAGCGGCGGCTTGCAAAGCTGCGGTTAGCCCTGTGGGCTGGTCGCGAGGAGAGGAAACGCAGAGAGCTAGCAAGTCCACCGGGGAGGCTCCGAACCTCGTCGCCCTCCCGGAGCCCCGGGTGCGAGGCGGGGTGCGTGGAGGGCGGGCTCGGAGAAGCAACAATACCATGCATCCTCCGCCCTCCCCGGAGACGGGTCCGCCGCCGTGGGGACCAGGCAGCGCACCCACCCACCCGCGCGGGCCTCACCTTATAGACGTCTCCGTAGGTGCCGCTGCCGACCCTCTGAACGAGCTCGTAGTCGTGCTGCGGGTTCCGCCTCAGGATGTCCGCGGCAGGCCGCAGCGGGGCCTCCATCTTCGCTCAGGGCCCGGCCCCCGCCGGCTCTGCCCGCGGCGGCGCCCCGGTTCCCGCTAACGAGGACGCGCCGCGCCGCTTCCCAACATGGAGCCTCCGGCCCCGCCGCTCCGCCTGCACCGAGAGCCCAAGCCACAGGCGGGTCGGCGCCCAGGGCGACCACCCCGCGCCGCCCAGCCCCTCGCCTTCCCTTCCGCCGCGGGCCGCCGCCGAGTGGGCCCGGCGGGGGTCCCACTCCCCGCCCCCTTCTCCTCCTCCTCTTCCTCCTCCTCCTCCTCCTCTTTCCCCACGTCTCCCGGTTCCGGCCGCGGCCCTGCCCCCCTCCCCGGGCCTCCAGCCCCAACTGCTAGCGGGGCCCGGCCGGTACCTGAGCCGAGGCGGCCCCACTCTTTGTTGAGCGCCGCGCCCGGGACCGACTGCCCCGCACCGCGCCTGCGTCCCAGCTCGGCCGGCGCCCGCCCGCCGCTCCAGCCCCTGCGCCGCCGCACGTCCCCTCGCCGGCCGTGCAAGCGCGTAGCCCGCCGCCGCCGCCGCCAGCCGCACCACGTTCCCCACCCGGGGCTGCGTCACCGGGAGACACGTTCCCGGCCAGTGTGGGTCGGCGGCGCCCAGTGGCCCGCCCGAGCGCGCCGGCCGCGAGCCCAGAGTGCCGCCCTGAGGCCAGAGCGGGACACGACACCCTCCCGGCCCGACACGTCCCGGCCCGTCGCGCCCAGCTCGGGTCCCGACGTCTGTGTCTTTCTTGGGGGGGACGGGGGAGGAGGGCGCTGGTTCTGGTGCTCTCGGCTGCCCGCGCCGCACTTGGGGCCTTTCCGGGGCTGGAGGGCACCGGCGGGCTCGATGAGCGCGTCGCGATTCCACGACTCGTCAGGTAAACTCGGGAGGGCAACGGGTAGCGGGAGGAGGGTGGGCGCGAGCCCTGATTGGCACCCGCGGGGAAAAAAAAGGTACGTTAAAGGCTCCGGGTGTCCGCGGGTGGCGGGGCGCCCGGGAAGGAGTTGAGGGGGGTGAGGAGTGCCGCCGGGTCCACTTAAGCCCCGGCACACCCCACTGCACCGGCCTGTTCTGCAGAGCGCTCCCCGGGGGACCAGTTTGACACCACTGCTGCTCACCCGCGCCACCCGTCTCCCACGGAATTTTCCCGGAAGCCGCGATGACTTGTAGGGCCCTCTGCCCCACAAACCACCCGCGGGGGGGCGTCTGACAGCGGACTCTGGGGATCAAGCATGCAGAATCTAAAGCAAGTGGGGTCCCCCACCCACCACCCACCCAGCGGCTTCTACCCGACGTCCTCTAGGCAACAGCACCTCCGTATCTTTCATCAGTGATTTGGAGAGACTCTGCAGCTGACACCCTTCCCCTTCTCCTCCTCCCCAAAAGGAGGGGGAAAGGTTTGCAAAGCACTGTGCAGGATTATAAAGAGGATTGTCAAAATAGGAGGGGGTTTCAGTACTTCCACAATGTTACCAGTACTTCCACAATGTTTCCACACTCCGGGGAAGTAACTTCACAAGCACTTTCACACTATGTTTCGGACTGGTTCTCTAGATGAAAGTTAAACTGACAGATGTATGTACACTGGCAAAGTTTTCCCCAGATCCACGAACAGGTTAGGGCCAGTAAAGTCAGATAACACTCAACTCACTGAATACAGTCGCATCCTAAGGAATTGCAGAGGGTGCCTTGTGACTTTGAATAGCCAACTGAGTTCTATTTTGGGGCCTGAATCAATTGTGTAAAGTAGAAGTTCACACCTAAACAGGACAAGGAATATATGTATTTTCTTGTGCTCCCTGCACAAAGAGGACTATTTAGGGAACATAAATTCAGATTTACATGCTCTTTGGACAATGCCTATGTGTTTGCTGCATCGAAAAATTTGCTGAAGAACAGTTCTTTCTTTCAGAGCTTCTTGGCACTTGTTTTGGTGGGCACATACTTTTGGCTTCGATGACTCAAAATCGTCTCAAATGTTCTATTAGTATCCTCGTACTTGTTTACTGCCATAGATTCTTTTTTCCCTTTGACCCTTATGGGTACTGATCCTTTCTCTAAAAATTTAAAATCTCTAGTCTGAAATGTTTCCTTATTTAGTCATATGGTCTTCTGCCTGCATTAATTTCACAGATTGGGAGGGGGGCAGCATAAAATAATACCAGAACAGAAAATAAAAATAAGTAAGTGTGGAAAGAAGTAGGACTTAAAGACAATTTTGAATCATGCAACAAATTGGCCAGAGAAAAGGATTTTACAGTGCCTGAGATCACAATGAACTAACTGATGAAGAAGTACATCTTTTCCTGACCTTGGGAGAGTTTACCATACGAGCCTTCATAAAGTAGAAATGTTGAATTCCTATATTAAGATGAAGATCAACATCCTTGTGAGAATCCTTCAAGTATTTTATTCTCGAAACAAAGATATGATACTGAGTTGGGCAATAAAAAGTTTAACATCATAGGTTTCGACAGACAAGACCCTGGAGTGCAGGTATTTTATGCCAGTAATTGTAAATCCATATGTTTTGACCATCAACTCAGAGGTGGAGAGCACGGAAAAAGTTGAGATTCTATGTGGTAGCTCAAAAATGTGTCTGCTATAATCATTATTTTACTTGTAGCACAATTGATGCAAAGAGGAAAACATTTGCTTTGTGCTAACTCCAAGAAGAATTAAGGATTTATTTTAACACTGATTGAGTGAACTTAAACAAGATCAGTGAAATTATGACTGGTGAAATAATATACATGATCATTCAAAAATTCAAATCCAGTTTTCATAGAATAAACAGAGTGGATTAATTTTACATCCTAAACAATTACATAGTTCTAATGTAGAAGATCATATAACTTTAAAAAATCATAGCAAGTAAGTTTCTTATAACCTGACAAGTTTTATAATAAGTTATGGATAATAATAATAATGAATATACCCTAAAAGGGTATTTATATTGGCCTTTCACAGCAAGCTAATAATCAAATATTCTATTATTTCTTTGGGATTTGGGTTGCATCCAGTAGTACTTGGGGACTACTCCAGCTCAAATCCAGAGGCTCAAATCCAGGCCTCTGGCATGTAAAACATGCTGGAGCCCCTGAGCTACTCCCAGCCCTTATCACATATGCCTAGTGTCTTCATAATATCTGACATGTTAACATATTCTAACTTTTAACCCTTAGTTACATGACAACCTAGAATGCCTTACTCTATGCTTTGTAATGTTTTCTCTCTCTTTCAAAACTTTTTACTAAAATGCTAACCAATGACCTTAGGTTCAACTTCATACAAATATGAATGAAAAAAATGGGCCATACCCAGCAATACTCAGGGGTTACTCCTAGCTATGAACTCAGGAATTACTCCTAGTGGTGAGACCATATGGGTTGCTGGAATTAGAGCCAGGTTGGTCACTTGCAAGGAAAATGCCCTACCCACTTTACTATCTCTCCAACCCCAAATTTTAAAAAATTTCTATGGAGGGTCACAACTTGCCATCTAAGACAAAATAGCTAATTAAAACCTTCAAAAGTGATAGTTCAGAGCATGATGACAATAATTCTAGTCTATGTAACTTCTAGACATTACCATTGTAATTTCCTAATGAATATGCCAGCATAAATTAGTAGCAAATGATGAAGCACTGTGATTAATTGACGTATAAGCTTAGTAAATATTACTTAAATTATATTTGTAACAATCTCAGTTTACATTTCCATAAATTAAGTGGTTCTATTTCTAATTAGGACTATCTGAGGCAAAACCTATTTTCAAAAATATGGAGAATTTCATTTTGCTCTGGATATGTGTCTTAAAATCAGTAGCAGGTCATGCTGAGAGGAGTTTTAGAAGAGGTGAGGAAGTAGTGCATATTCCCTCTTTTTAAAAAATGAACTATTTTTTTATTATTATCGCTCCAGCTATCGCTGTGTGATAGCACAGCGGGTAGGGCGTTCGCCTTACAAATGGCCAACATGGCCGACCCGAGTTCGATTCCTCCGCCCCTCTCAGAGAGCCCGGCAAGCTACCGAGAGTATTCGATATGCCAGACACAGTAACAACAAAATCTCCAAAGGAGACGTTACTGGGCCCGCTCGAGCAAATCGACGATCAACGGGAGGGCCTTTGCCTTTACCTTTTAAAAAACGAACTTATATTGATCATCTAGATCAATTTTTCTCTTTAACCTTGATCACCACTCAGACTTTAAGGTCTCAGTATTTATTGGTAATAGTATCCCATATTCAATTTACAACTCGGTTGAGAGGTAGCACAATTTGTAGGGCACTTGATTTCCGTGTGGCTAACTTGGGTTTGAGCCCTCCTAGGAGTGATCCCTGAGTGCAGAGCCAGGAATAAGACCAGAACACAGCCTAGGTGTGGCCCAAAAAGCACTCCCACCTCCTCCCCCCAAATTGGTTCCTCCTGAAAACTTTATAGCTAAGAAAAACTTCAAATTACAAGTGATCTTAAGTTGTTCCTTACCAGTTTCCTCACAGCATAAGTACAAAGTTCAGAACTAATGCCTAAAATTTGCTTATACCTCAGGTAAATTAGTATCTTGAGAAACCTGAATCTACAGAAGAGGCCATAGTGCCTCCCAGTGGCCCAATCTTATCACCATTGATCCTATAGCTCTTTTAAGAGCCATGTACGTCCACCTTTCTTTGCCATTTTAAGATGAGGATAATAGAGGTTTTTTGTTTGTTTGTTTTGGCTGTACTTTTAGAAGGCTTCACTGTCTTTTGTTGGTTGCTTAAACCTGGCCTCATTTTTCTTAAAAAAATTTTAAATAATGTAGGACCGGCCTCATTTTTCTCTTCTTCTCATTAGATTTTCTTTCTGATACCTCCTTTTTTTTTATTGGTAAGACCTTTGATCAATAGTTATAGATACTTTTTTTGTAAGAACTCTGATCAGGCTATAAATACTTGGAAGTAGCCTCTGGAAAGACACTTCACTTTCTGGAATGATTTCTTTCTTTGGTGATTGTCTGGATATACTACTTGCCAAGGAAAACGGAAGTATAATAGTTCATCAGGGCCAGGAGTAAGGCCTGAGCACTGCCAGGTGTGGCCCATGAAACAGACAAACAAAAAGTTACTCCAAATACCCAATTCTGACAAACTGTAGTTTGTCAGCAAGTCATTTTTTTCAAGGGAAATTGGAATTTTATGAGAAAAAAAGTTTAGTTTGCAACATGAAGTGCTTTGCTTGGAAACAGTCATCATTCTTCACAGGGTGTGATCAGAAGTGCTGGTGAGTGTTTCCCACTTTATATATACTAACATAACTAACATATTTAACATATACTAACTGAAAAATGTGTATGTGAGAAGTAAGATATAATAGAGTTAATCAATTCATTTCCTCTGCCCCTCTCCGAGAGCCCGGCAAGCTACTGAGAGAATCTTGCCTGCACGGCAAAGCCGGGCAAGCTCCCTGTGACATACTCAGTATGCCAAAAACAGTAACAACAAAACAAAAAAAACGAAACACTGCCCTCCTGTTGTTCATCGATTTGCTTGAGCGGGCCCAGTAATGTCTCCATTTTGAGACTTGTTGTTACTGTGTTTGGCATATTGAATACATCACGGATAGCTTGCCAGGCTTTGCCATGCAGGCGAGATACTCTCAGCAGCTTGCCAGTCTCTCTCAGAGGGGCGGAGGAATCGAACTCGGCTCGACCA